TTTTACTGTCATATTTTTACAATATTTATAGAAATTTAAATAATATTCATTATAAAAACAAAAATATAATTTTAAAATTCGTAAAGAGCTTTTGATTATAATTTAATTTCTTTTCTTTTCTTTTAATAAATTTTACAATTATTTTACTCTTACATTTTAATTTATTAATTTTTCTTTAAATTAATATTATATTTACATTTAATTTTGTTTCTTTCTCTACAATTTTTTTTAATCATTTTATTTCACTTCATCTCCTTACTTTATTAACTTTTTAAAGGAACCATTTATCATTTTCTTCTTTAAAAATACAAAAAAATATATATATATTTTACATTAATTATGTAATTAAATTTATAAAAAATAAATCGTCTTTAAATTAACTATATACAATTTTTGAAATAGAATAGTGAAAAATCAATAATGAAAGAAAAGTGTTATACCATACGATTCTAGAAAATATTACATTATTATATAATTTTTTTTTTAGTAGTCAGAAAAATTGAATTATTTTAAATTTATAAAACTCAAAACATTACACAAAACTAAATATTATTAAATAAATTAATTTATTAATAATTTTGTTTATTAAAAATTCGTCATATTAAATGTTTCGTAATATTCAATTCATTTATTACAAACTATATAGAAAAAATTTTCATTTTTAATCACAAAGAGAAAAAAAATATAAAATAAGAAATAATAATACTTTAAAAATTATTGAATTTTTTTTTTTTTAATTAAATTAATAATAAATAAACTAAATTTAAATACATATTTAATATTAAGAAAAAAAAATCACAAAATTATTGGAATTTTAATTATCAATACGTTTAAAAGAAAAAAAAAATTATACAAAATATTTAATGAAAAAAAAAAAATTATTAACATTTACAATTTTTATTTTCAATTAATTTTAGAAAAATTTCATAAATACATTTTATAAAAATGTTGAATTTGTCGAAATTGTAAAATCGCATAAGGAAACAAAATTTAACAAAATTACAATTTTCGTTTCCAATGAAAATTTTTACAATTTCAAGAAAACCAACATTAATAAAAACAAAAATTTTTAATTTTTATAACTATGATTTTTAATACTTTTATAAAAAAACAAAAAAGAGAACAAATAATACTATTTTGCATATTTCTGAAATTTTTGTTTTTTTGTTTCTCATATCAAAATTTTATAGAACTAAAAGAAATAATATTTGACTTAAAATAAATTGTTTTTACATTTGCAAATATGGCCGTAATTATTTTAAAACTTTCAAAGTTATGTTGAGACAAATTTTATTTTGTAAAAATTTGTATAACAAATTTTTATTGAAATTTATAAGGAAAAAAAAAGATGAATTTATTTGAAACCTAATGCTGTACAAATTGAACATTATTTAATTTATGAATATGAAAATTCGATAGAGTAAATGTACTGATTGACAATCCTTAACAATTACAAATTTGCTCTATTATTTGAATAGTTGAATTTTATTTTCAATTTTATAATATTTCGGTCGTAAAAATGCTAACCTCGTCATTAAAAACTATTAATTTTAAGAAATTTTTAAGATATTTTGTATTTTACATAGTCTTTTTACAATTTAAAGAATTCTTACGCGAAAGATTTTTTACTTTAAAATAAAAAATGTAAAAATTTATGTTAAAATTGTTTAATTAAAGGTATAATTGTAATAACAAAATTTTTAATTTTGTTATTACTATTAAACATTTCTTTTAAATCAAAATTTTTTAAGTAAGTAAGTAAAAAAATAAGCTTGAACAAATTGTATATAATTTGTTAATTTTTAAATTTTTGTTTACTTTTTTTTGTTGAAAACTCGAAAATGGTTTTAATTAAAATGTTTGGTTTTTTCTACTAATATTTTCATGCAAAATATTTCATTTAATATTATGAATTATAATTAAATTTAAATTTTATAAATTAATTTTTTGAATTATAACAAATTATGAATACATATACATTAATAATTTTGTTTTGTTTTCTACTTCTATATCTGGAAATTAATTGAAAATAATTGTAAATATTTGTAAATATGTATGTAATACAGAATTAGAATGTCTTCGTTTTTTGTTAATATTACAATTTCTAATAAAATAAATTTTTGATTTGAATGAAATACAAATTTTTATAGTATAACACCTAAAATTATGAATGAAAATTAAATTCCTTTTTTTTTTTTTTATAGAAAATTTAAAATATATAAAAAAAAGAGGAAAATTAATATAAATTTTAATTAAGAGATATGTTTAAATGTATAAACTATTATAAAATTACAATTTGATATACAATATGTATTTGTATGTATATGCAAAATTTATTAATGAAAATATAAAAAGAACACTGGCCGCAAAAAAAAGAATTATAATAATTCTTTTCAAAACATTTTCTTTTAATTACAATTTATATGCATATACATAAAAACATAATTGTGTAAATAATTATTATTATTTTTTATTTATTAAAAATATTAATTATATATATATATGTATATATGTTTAATATAGATTTCAAATAAATCACTGTTATATTTGAAAATTTTCCATTTATATACAATAATGATTGCTTATAATTAAAAATATTAAAAAATTTAACAAATACAAGAATGATTTATTAAAGTTACAAAATGAGTTATAAGTTAATAAGTACATATATGTACATATCTCTTAATATGTTCTATACATGTATGTGACATAAGATATTTTGTTGTTATATTTCAGTCATTTATAAGAAATCAATTTAATAATTAATAATTATGTCCGCATTTTTACAAAAATATTTGTCTTTAATAATAAATTTGTCATATTAAAAAATATGATATTAAAGAAAAAAGTGATATTTAAATATTTCTATTTTTGCTGAAATTATTTTTAAAATTGCAATATAATTTCCAAATTATACAAGTTATTCTTTATAATTAATTAATTCTAATAAGTAATGGTTTAAATTAATTCATTCAAGTAGTAAATTTCAATATTCAATTTTTCTAAAAATCTGTATTTTCTAGATTTGATTCTCTTATTACAATTTGAAAATAGAAGATTAAAAATCAAAATTCAAAGTAGTAATTATAAAACAAATTAGTCTAGATAATCGAATTAAAGTAAATGACTGAAATACAAATATAATTAATATATATATATATACATGTTGTTAATTTATAAATATATGCCAATGAAGCCAAATATATAATTTCTTAAAATAAACAATTTTAATATAAAATTTAAAAATAGAATAGATTTTGCATTTTTCTTTTCAAACTCTATTTTAAATTCGAAAATAATTTGAGAGTTTCTATAATAGAAAAAATTAATATTAAATATTAGATTTAATTTTATTACATCAAAATAAAAAATAAAAAAATAGATGTATAGAATTTTAAAATTATAATTAACACAAAAAAAAAAAAAATTTAATAGAGGGTTTGTTTGTTTCGCTTTCATTTTTTCAATTTTATTAATAACTAAAATTTAAAAAACAGAAATTTTTTTGTTTTTTATGTTCAATACATAAAAAATTATACGTTCATTATTAAATTTAATTTTTACATAAAATTACTTTATGTACTATTATTAAATTTATATAAGAAAATTTTATCATTTTTAAATATGATTTTTTTTTTTTCTTTACAGAGCTCTTACTTACACATCTAAATACTATATAATTTTAATATTCTTTAATTTTATTATTATATAATTTTAATAAATTACTTATACGAAAATCACTATGTTTTGTTTTTTTTTCTCATTTTGATTTATATAATAAAAATTGTTTTTTTTTTTAAGTTATGTAAAGATCAAATATAAAATTACCATTAATTATTTTATTTATTTTTATTTTTTTGTTAATTTTATATTTTTTTTTTTATAAATTTACTTTAAATGGACTATAATGAATGAACATTTGAGAATGACATTTAAATTGTTATATTTATTTATCTTTTATATTACTTTATCTCATTTCATACAAAAAAAATATACAAGATATATATATATAATTGGAAAAAAAAATTTGTATAATTATAATTTATTATAAAATTAATAAGTAGATCTAAATATATAAAAAATATACAAATAGCAACCAATCAGTCAGCAAATTATTACATTTTTTTTTTCGCATTTTTTATTTAATTTATTATTATTTTCATTCTGTCATTTATTACTAAATATTATTTTATATTTAATATTATATCTTAATAACTATATTTGAAATAAATAAACAATGAAAATTTTCTATATATTGTCGTACGATTAATTATGTTTTAATTATTAAAATTTCCAAAAAAAAAAAAAAAATGCTATATAAATAATATGTTATGAGATTTTTTTTTAAATTAAAATCACCGTTAAGAGTTTTTTTTTCCAAGTTAATAACATTTTACAATTTAATTTTTATATTAATATCGTATATGATTTTTAAATAATTAAAAATTTTTTTATTTTTAATTAATTTCACATTTTTTGATGATTTTAATTTAATTATTTACTCAAATAATAAAAAACAAAATATAATCAGTTTGATTTTTACAATATAAATCTTTTTTATGAAATTGTTATACTAACTATTATGTAAAATAATAATCAATAAAACATTTAATTATAAAAGATATTTATATATATATGTATATAAATATATGTATATAATTTGATTTTTATTTTTTGTATATATATATAATTATATTGATGATCACGATTAAAATAATCAAAAAAGTCAAAAACAGTTTAATACAAATAAAACTGTTATACACAATATAAATCGTATAAAAGAATAAAAATTTCTTTATTTAAATAAATCTAAGATCTTTATACAATTTATAATTTTTATTATTTTTTATTTTGTTATTTTATTATAATTAAAAAATAAAAAAAAAAAAAAATTTGATATACATAAATATTATAATAAATTTTCATTTTCATACATTATTCATTTATAAATGTATTTTTATTACATTTTCTTTTTTCATATAAAAAAATTTTTGTGATGCGCAAGGGGAGACGGGATATATAGAGTAATTTGAAAAAAAAAATATATATATATATAATTAAATTAATTAATTAATTTATATATAAATTATAAATCACTACATATGTGGCGGACTACAAACAATTACTTGTGATCTTGTTTGTACAACTTGACCGCCGCATGTTGTTGTTTGTGATGGAGGCCATCTTTGATTACAAAATTGTGATTCACCTAGTACTGACATTCTTTTACTATCAAGCATATACTCTTTGGTGCAATTTGTTGTATTTGCAGTATTAACAGCTGTATTCGCTGTATTAACAACTCCACCAGATACAGTGGCACTAGCTAAACTACTACTTGTATTACTATTTATTAAACCACTGTTTTGAACACTATTTGAATTTGTGGTACTATTATTACTGCTAGTACCACCATTACATAATAATTGTGAAGTTCTATGCATTAATGATGGATCTGTATTCAATTGTTTTTGTGATTTTGCTCTTTGTAATTGTGTTGGTACTGCACTACAAAAATCACTATTGGCATTATTATCACTATAATTTGACATAGCACCATATAAGCTAGTTGTTAACAAACAATCATCAACACTAGCTGAGCTTGATATATTATTAACGCTTTTATCCCATGTATTTTTAATTATATTCGGATTTGAATTATCAAAAGTTAAACCGCTACTTGAACTACGTTTCGATGATAAAGTAGTACCATGGTGTGCTGTAGCATTTTGTTCATTTTGTTTCCTTGCTTCTGCATCATCCTTTTCTTGATCCCGTTTACGTTTACGCTTCATACAAATTACAACACATGCAGCAATTACAGCAATAACTGGCATTGCAACTGATAATATTGCAATTAAAACAACTTGTCCACCAGTTAAACCATCATTTTGACCTTGTAAAGTACCATATTGATGTGCACCAAATGATGGTGCATAAACTTCATCGTCACATTGATGTCCACCAAAGCCTCCAGCACATAAACATTGAAAACTGTTTACTCGATTAACACATGTTGCACCATTATGACATGGATTCGATGCACATTCATCAATATCAGTACTACAATCTTTTCCAGTGAAACCCTGTCTACATTGGCATTTATAATCATTACTTAAAGTTGTACAAGTTCCACCATTTGCACATGGTTTCGTCAAACATAAATCAACTTTTTCCGAACACAAGGATCCAATAAAACCAGGGACACATTGACATCGAAATTGGTTTATCATATCAACACATGTACCACCATTCATACATGGATTTCCTTGACAGTCATCAACATTTTGTTCACACCTATCACCAATAAACCCTGATTTACATATACATTCTGCCGCAGCACCATTCGTTTTTTGTAAACATGTACCACCATGTTGGCATGGATTTGGATTACATTCATCAGTTTGTGTTTGTTCACAATTTATACCACTATATCCAGCTGGACATTCACATTGAAACCCCAATTTGGTGTCACGGCATTTTCCATGTAAGCATGGTTTTTCAGCACAAGTAATACGTTTTTTTTCACAGTGACGTCCCGACCAACCTTGTTTACATTCACAACGATAACTTTTATTTAAAGCATCATCATGACATGATCCACCATTTAAACATGGAAAATCTTGGCAACTGTTAATACTTTTTTCACAATCAGTTCCAGTAAATCCTGGAGGGCATTCACAAGTATATAAACCAGATCCAGTATTACGGCAAGTACCGTTATTTTGACAGGGTCGGTGATTTGTACAATAATTTAAATCTTGATTACAAAATAGACCACCCCATCCTTCATTACAAAGGCATTCCCATTGTTTTGTGCATGTGCCATGAATACAGCCGGGATATAATTCACATTCATTACATAATGGTCCTTTCCAACCAGATTGACACCTGTAAAATAACCAAAAAATGAATTAAATAAATGTTTATACGATATTTTTTAATATTAAAGTATTAAATTTAAAACTGTTATACAACGGTGTAGAATTATCGTATATGTGTATAACTTAAAAAACTGTTATACGTGAAAAAATTCAAAATAAGTAATTTATGTTATATTTTTTTCTATGTTTTCAAATCATTATGTTTTACATAATTATTTATAAAATTTCATTATCAATAAATCTTCATCATACATATTTTAATTTTTTTATAAGTATTAAATCAATAACACATTATCGCATAATCAATTATTATATTTTTACAGAAAAATTCATTTAAATTACAACATTGTCACGGTTGACTTTTGCATATTAAACTCTAAAAAAGTATTCTTAATACCATAGAAAATGAAAAAATACACAAAAAAAAATTATCAAGTTATGCATACAAATTATAATGCTTGAGTGAAAATAATATCAAAATCAATCCCATGGAAATCAAAAGAGAAGGAAATTTCGTTCTAAATGTTCACATTTCTTAAAATACTTGTGTACGTTTTCAAATGACAAATGTACATTTCTATTAATTTTTCTTGACAAATCACAGTTCTTATGATTCCAAAAACATTCTAAAAAATTAACAAATTCAAAAACACATGAGAAATATGAAAGAAGAAAAACTTATCGGAATCAAAGTATCATAGACGATATCATATTAAAATATTACTTTTCTTATAAATATGTTAGAATATGTAACCTTTATTTTACTATAGATATATGTAACTATACTATTACATTTACAAATACTCATAAATTTTAATGTACAAACTTCAAATGCGTACACAATCGTTCGATAAATGGTGAATCAATTAAAGAATTGGCTCGCTAAACTTCTGCTCACTTAACTAAATTTTTACTCATGGTGAATATTGTGCATATTTCTTTATATTAAATAAATATTCTAGAAGAAAACTATTGAAAATATAAAACTTATCAAAGCAAAACTATAATTTCAATATAACATAATGCAATTTTGTGCCTATCTATTAAAAATACAACCATAGTATTGAATTCTACTAAAATCACATAATTTAGAATATAATACGATATGTCCATATACACTCTTATAGATGCAGAGCACAATTTCAATAAAGTACAATAAAATAATAAAATATCATTGCTATTTCAGGAAAGAAACAATTATTTAATATGTCATATGCTTGTATATATAAAAGTTCTACATTACTTTCGCTTACAATTCTTTAATATATTCAATAAAATACGCATGCATATTGTATATAAATGGTTTGCCAATAAAACAAATATTTTTCTGGGTAAATTTGCCAAAATGCAAAAAAAAAAAAAGAGCCTTTTTCTGTTTGTACAAAGTGGGAATTCATTGCTCATAGTCATATTCTCTGTGTAACGTACACATATGGTGGAGACAAATTATACAAAAAAAAAGACAGAATTTTATAATGGAACATTTAAGAGGATAAACAAATAGAGGAATGAACAAAAAAAAAAGGAAAACAATAATGATAAAAAAAGAGCAACGTCCATAAAAAAATGGCAATAAAAAATCATTTAATTTGGTTCTCACGTGTTTAAAGCCAAGTCGGTAATACAAAAACAAAAATGAATAGTGGACAAATGGAAAAATTGTAAGCATATTACAGGCATAGTGTATATTTTATGCATAATTATAGCATACTTATATGCAAAAAACAAAAAAAAAAATCGGAGAATTGAAAAAGGGACAAACAAAATGAATTTTATTTTCTCTTTCCAGTTTTTTTTTTTTTTTTCGTTATTCTTTTTAAAAAAAATTTATTAATATTTTGCATATTTAATATGCCTATTAAAAGCGATAATGTGAATCAAATTAAAAAAAAAAAATGTTTTTCGTTTTGTTTTAGTACATGTATTGAAATTTTATTAATTTTCATGTTATTGGATGCGATTTACAAGAATTGGATGAGTCAACTTTTTTTTCGAAAATAAGCAAGTATTAATATTAGAATCCATTGATTTGAAAAATATAAAAAAAATTGCATATTTTTAGGCATTCTAATAAATTTAGTTATTTCTCTTAAACGCCAATACATCATCTCGACTAAACACCAATACATGATTTCGGGAATTCCGCACACACAATACACAAAACAATTATTTTAAACAATTAAAATCTACTTTAATAATGAATGTATGATATGCTATTATTGTGGGACATAATTTTTAAATACATAATTTTTTGTCTTAAGTTTCCGAAATTTTACTCTTCTGTTTGCCATTCTATATAATTATTTTGTTTATTTTGCAATTTCTTTATATTTAATTCTCAGCTTAATTTTATTTATTTTTTATTCTTTCATTTTTCGTTTTCATTTTTGTTATTTTGTTTGACATTTTTCGTTGAATTGTTTCTCACGGAGAATATACACATCCATACATATAATTTCTTTCTTTATTCATGTACAATCCACATATCCACATTCACACGCTTAACTTATGAGCGTAACATTAGCGTTAATTTTTCTTTCTTTTTTGTTTTGTCATGGCAAAAATTAATTTTTTTAAGGATCAATCATAAGTGTGTAACCGTGTAGCGTAAAAAAAAAAATAACACAGTTTTGGAAAGGCATTAAATATAATTAAAATAATTTAACTGAATATAATGTGTTTTTAATTTAATAATTTCATACAAATGAGCAAATTATTGCATACATAAATGATAATTTATTTTGTTATATAAATTTGAATATTCGGCAAGAGAATAAAAATTAATTGTTAGTTTCATTATTAGCTGGGAAAAATTTTATTGAATTTGTTTGAAAGTAAAGAGAAATGAATTACGCATGTACCATGCACACACACAAAAAAATAAAAAAAAAATTTTATGTTTTCCAAATCACAAATTTAAAATTTATACAATATCGATGGATTAAAACCTATGCAAGCTTCTATTTATATAAAACATTTTAAATCATACAAAAGTCTAAAAGACTCGAAAAAAAAAAAATACAAAAATTAAAGTGTTATTAACAAAATCTAAATATTCTATTCGCGTTCTGAACTTTGCAACTAAATAAAATGAAAAACCAAAATTCGTGTCTCATATTATTGAAATTCCTTTGCATAAATGCATCGGATTCCTTTTTAATTCATTCTTTTTCGAAAATAAAGAAACTAAAATATGCTAAACTAAATGCATTTCATATATGTATGTATGCAAGTACATATGCATATAATGAGATAAATGATCTTCATTTTAAAGAATAGAGAATTTGCCAAAACGAAAATTTTAACACTACTTAGGTATGTTTTTAAAATTAAATAGTAAAAAATGAAATTTGAAATGAAAATGGTTAAAAAAAAAAGATTTACTAACTTAAAATTTATCAGAATATCTTTTTCTTTCCTTACATACTTTCCTCCTTCTCTTCCTTTCTATCCCAAGTACCTACTTATATAGTGATGAATTTTTCGAGGCATAGAGGAATTTTATGTGTACGGAAAATTTAAAAATTGCCTGACTATTTTGTTAAACAAAAAAAAAAACATTTTTTCTTTAATTTGTTCTTATTTTATATCTACGTCAAAATGACAAAAAAAAAAAACAAAACCTAGACACAACAATAAGATGAAAAAATATAAAACTAGCATAACTTAGTTAATTTTCGCTTACACACAAAGCAAGTCTTCGTTTACACACGAAGGCGTATAAAAACAACTGGAAATATACTCTAATAAATCAATAAAGTGAATTTTGAGAGCATTTTTCACTTAACAACATTAAATTGCTAAAATTAATCCGATTTCCAAATATTAATCTGATTTCCAACAAACTATAAAAACATTTCTAATTCTTAAAATATGTTTAAGAGGCCGAATTTGGTCTCCAATTTCAAATTATTGGACAAAACGTTTTGCATATCATTAAAGAAGAATATGAGAAGAAAATGAAATTTTCATTAGCAGTGTTCAAAATTAGATTTATATTTAGCTTAATAAATGTTATACGAAATTGCAAAAAGTGTTATATAAATTAATATCATGGCATAATGGATGGACAAACGGAATATTAATAATGAGATTTTATACTCCAAAAATTTTGCTTATAATATTTTACTTTATTATTTTAAATGTAGAATACTTAGTATATTCAATTGTAAAAACCAAACTAGTTCAATAGCTATCAAAAATGAATTATGTTCAGTTAAGTTGTAAATGCTATTGTTATTATGTGAAAATTTACACCTTCCAATTGCACTTCTCCTATACATTTTTTTTTGTTTTGTTATACGTTAACGTTCCTTTGTATACGATATTGTATGTATAGGATTCAATGTATCCATTATAATGTAATACAAAATGTTCATACATAGTTCATACATAATAATATTATATGTATAACAATTATATATAGAATATTGATTTACGATCATTTTTAAATGGAATTGAATAATATTTCATGATAAAATGAAAATAATAACAAAAAATATAACACTTTGTTTTTATTTTATTTTGTTATATTGTTTTTATTTCATTCTATTGTATATAGTTGATTTTTTTTTTTATACAATTTTAATTGTATAATAAATATTTTTGTGTTAAAATTAACACAAGAATAAATGTTTCATATTTATACATGTATAAAAGTATATATACAATAAATAGACAAATATTATATATATGAACATATGTAGGTGTATAGGTTAAGAATTTAAAATACCTTATCACGAAATTCAATACATTTTTCTTTTTGCACAAAACAAAAAAAGTAAAACAATTCCTATAAGACAGTATAAAAGTTTAATTGGATAAGAGGAAAACAGTCAAAATTAATTAACAAATTGAATTTGTTTGTGAAAATTCTTGCATGTATAAAAAGAAATTTTTTATATAACAAAAAAATTTTGTTTTTTTTTTCTTGTTAATTTTGCATTCAATAGTTTTGGTTGATTAATTTTTTTATTGAATGGTGGTTACTATGTACCAATTAAAAAT